TCATTGGTAAGTGGGGAATTCCTGATGTTGCTGGGAGCCTCCATGTGTGCACGGGAACTAGGGACAAGGGTCACTTGGGCCGCATTGGGACAAAGGGACAGCAGGGCCTGATCCTCACAGAGGACGTGCACCCGAGCTGGGGTGTCTGCCAGTCGATGGTACGTTAAGGTGTAAATCTACTCTGGAGAAAACATAGTTTATTTGCATCAAAGGCAACTTTTTCCCAAGTTCTGTGATCGACTCTCTGGTTCTTCAGTTAGTGCTTAGTGAGCACTGTCCCAGCTGCTCTTCCTCTTTAGTTTTTACAATCCTGAGTCTCTGGGCGCTCGTGCTCACTGTCCAGTGTGTACCCCACCCTGCTGCACAGAGCAGAGACTCCCCCACAGGAAATCTAAAGCTACTCTCACCTGAGCGCCACCCCTCCCACCCGAATCCGGTCCGATGCCTGCGGGGTGTCCCAGGGAGTGCTCCACAGTATAGGTCATTCACTCTGATCTTCTCAGGCCACAGCCTCTCCAGAATGGGGCAGGGGCTGTATTTCATGAAGAGGGGATAGAGTTTACACACGGACGTGTATCTGCAATTTTTTAAAAAGGTCCGTGCAAACACGGACGGGAAAAAAGACCACACGTGACATTGTGGATGGACCTGGAGACGTGGACACTGTCCACGCACAGGGGCCGCCTGCAGAGAGGTGGACAGGGGCGGGGACAGGTCTCTCCTGGCGCACCCCAGAGGAGCACCCTGAACTCTTGCCTCTGACAAGTCTGCCTCCTGCACTCTAGGTGGAGAGAGAATATTCCTGGGACAACACAGGCATCCCCAGGGCATCAGGATTGTGTCGTGCCAGCGCCCCTTGCTCGCAGACTCTCGGCCCCTTAGCAGCAACTCCCTGGGGGACGAGCCTGAGACCCCGCGCAGACCTGACATCGGAGTCCGACCCTCTGTGTCCGCGATGGTCCGAGGTATCCAGGGGCCCAGGGCAGCCAATGTGGGGTCCCCGGGTTCTCTGAGCAGCGACCTCAGTGGCTGAGGCACCTGGCCATGCTCCCCCAGCCTGGCCCCACCTCTCCCGCCGCCCCTCCTTTGCCGCCAGGGGTGCTGCCCTGCCACAAGTTAGGCGCCTGGCCAGAGAAATTCCGTCAGTCAATCCCCAAAATTTTTGTCCACACCCAGGCCTTGTCCAATATAACTTTGGGTAATGAACAACTCAGGCTCACATTTTTCACCTCAGGACATTGTAAGAGTTGTTATGCTGTTATTCCTTTCTACTGGGTAACTCATATATAAATACTTCTTATTTATTTATTTTTTTTTACATAAAATGATAAAGTTTAGATTTCCTATATTAAGAAGCAAAATATAAACCAAAAGCTCATTAAGTAGTCAAATTTTCATTTTATTGAACTTAGGAGATCCTTAGTTTTATAGGAGAAATATACCACCACGTAAATAATGATAGAACAAATTTAAGATAGAGAAACCAGAAGAAGCTCTAGTTTTTCTTAGGATGCGAAGTTCAAAATGCAGCATTACAAATGAAACAAATTCATATGCCAGAGGATTTTTGTTTATTTTATTTTTTTTGCTAGGACAAGGGGAGGAAATATTAATGAAGGTGCTCACCAGTGCTTTAATTAAACCATTGCATTTTGAAATCGTTTTTGTGGTGGAATCCCTGGTGGTGCAAGGGGTTAAGCACCGCAATATGAAGCAATCTACAGCCTCTGCCGCACGAGTTCGATACCCAGCCAGCCAGGGAGAGACCCACATGGCGAGGCAGACCTCTCCTGTCTCACCTGCAGCTCACCTCAGCAGTGTACTTCAGTCGATCTACCTGTTCTGCTCCCTGCTCTGTCTCTGGTGAATCCTCTCACTCCCCGCATCTCTGGCCTGTATGCCAACTCTTGTATGCATCAATAAATAAATCTTAGAATATATAATGGCACCATTTTAACCCGGCAACCCTCTGGAGACAAAAGACACAAAGGTGAAAACACACACGAAGATCTCTCATTTAGATTTTGGACCATTGCACTAATTTTTAGAGAAAGTTATTTTACCAGTATTTATGACAAGACTGACAACAATTACTAATTTATTTTAAATGTTTTTATTTTTTTTTTTTCGGTGGGACCCTCGCTGGTGGCCGGGAACGAACTGGCGCTGCAGAGGCTGCGGGCAATCTCGCAGCCCAGCGCTCAACCGATGCACCACCAGGGGAGGCCATTAAATAATATTTTTTTATGATATATTTTATTTATTTTTTATTTAAATAATAAATTTTATTTTTATATTCCCCCATACAATTGCAACCCCCCATTCTGACCCCAATCCCTCCCCTCCCGCCCCCCACCCCCCAAAAAGTGTCTCTGGTTCATAGTTTTTTGTTGATTTTGATTTTCACTTTCTTATATTCATTTTCCTGGTCCCTTATTTAAGTTTTCTAGATTCCTGCTATGAGTGAGACCATCCGGTATTTTTCTTTTTCTTTTTGGCTTATTTCGCTGAGCATGATCCCTTCCAACGCCATCCATGTTGCTGCAAATTGCATGTGTTTATCTTTTTTGAATGCTGAGTAATATTCCATTGTGTATATGGACCACATCTTCTTGATCCAGTCATATATTTTTGGGCATTTGGGCTGTTTCCAAAGCTTAGCTATTGTAAATAGTGCTGCTATAAACATAGGGGTGCAGGTGTTCTTTGGAATTGATGTTTCTGTGTCATTTGGGTAAATACCTAGGAGTGGAATTGCTGGATCATATGGAAGCTCTATGTTTAGTAGGTCCAGAAATCTCCACACAGCTCTCCATAGTGGTTGGACCAGTTTGCACTCTCCACCAACAGTGCAGAAGAGTTCCTTTTTCTCCACACCCTTGCCAACATTTGTTGTTGCTAGTTTTTTAATATGTGCCATTCTCACTGGTGTAAGATGGTATCTCAGGGTAGTTTTGTTTTGCATTTCCCTGATTACACGTGATGTTGAACATTTTTTCATATGTCTGTTGGCCATTTGCATTTCCTCTTCAGAGAAGTTTCTTTTTAGCTCTTCTGACCATTTTTTGACTGGATTATTTTCTTTGTTGTTGCTGAGTCTCATCAGCTCTTTGCAGATTTTTGTGATCAGTCCTTTATCATTAGTGTTGGGTGCAAAAATGTTCTCCCAGTTGGTGGGGTTTCTCTTTGTTTTTGTTATTGTCTCTTTTTCTGTGCAGAAGCTCTTTAATTTGATGTAGTCCCAGCTGTTTATCTTTGCCTTCACTATCACTGCTTTGGGTGATGTGTCTGTAAAGATGTCTTTGATGTGCAAGTCCCGTAGTGTTTCGCCTATATTTCCTTCTATGTATTTTATGGTTTCAGGTCTTATGTCTAGTTCTTTAATCCATTTTGAGTTGATTTTTGTGTATGGTGTGAGGTAGTGGTCAAGCTTCATTCTTTTGCATGTAGCGACCCAGTTTTCCCAGCACCATTTATTGAACAAACTTTCTTTGCTCCAATGTCAAAGATTAGTTGACCATAAATCTGTGGGTTTATTTCTGGATTTTCTATTCGATTCCATTGGTCTGTATGTCTGTTCTTGTTCCAATACCATGCAGTTTTGATGATTATGGCTTTGTAGTATAGTTTGAAGTCTGGGAGTGTGATGCCTCCATCATTTCCTTCTTTTTTTTTTTTCAGTAGAGCTTTGGCTATTCGGGGTTTTTTTGTGATTCCCTATGATTTTCATCAATAATTGTTCTATTTCTTTGAAGAATGACATTGAAATTTTGATTGGAATAGCATTGAATCTGTATATTGCTTTTGGTAGGATGGCCATTTTAATAATGTCTATTCTTCCAATCCATGAGCAGGGGATGTCTTTCCATTTCTTTGTGTCTTCTTCTATTTCTTTTAACAGTGTTTTATAGTTGTCCTTGTATAGGTCCTTTACCTCTTTTGTTAGATTTATTCCCAAATATGTGATTTTTTTTTTGTTTCGATAATAAAAGGGATTTTTTTTTATTTCTTCTTCAGATTTATTGTTTGTGTATAGGAAGGCTACTGACTTTTGCGTGTTGATTTTGTATCCTGCCACTTTACTGAATTGAGTGATGAGTTGAATTAGTTTTTCTGTGGAGTTTTTGGGGTTCTCTATGTATATTATCATATCATCTGCAAATAGTGATAGTTTGACTTCTTCTTTTCCTATTTGGGTTCCTTGTATGTCTTTCTCTTGTCTTATTGCTCTGGCTAGGACTTCCAGTATTATATTGAAAAGCAGTGGTGAGAGTGGACATCCTTGTCTTGTTCCAGATCTTAATGGAATTGCTTTCAGCTTTTCACCATTGAGAATGATACTGGCTGTTGGCTTGTCATAGATGGCCTTTATGATGTTGAGGTATGTTCCTTGTATCCCAAGAATTTCAAGGGCTTTTATCATGAATGTGTGTTGCACTTTGTCAAAAGCTTTCTCAGCATCTATTGATATTATCATATGGTTTTTATATTTCTTTTTGTTGATGTCTTGGATAACGTTGATTGATTTTCGGATGTTAAACCATCCTTGTGTCCCTGGAATGAATCCAACTTGGTTGTGGTGAATTATCTTATGGATACATTGTTGGATTCTGATAGCTAAAATTTTATTGAGGATTTTTGCATCAGTGTTCATTAGGGAGATTGTCCTGTAGTTTTCCTTTTTTTTGTGTTTTCCTTATTCGGTTTTGGTATTAGTGTAATATTGGCTTCATAGAACGTGTTTGGTATTGTCCCTTCCTTCTCACTTTTTTGGAAGAGTTTGTGAAGGATAGGCACTAATTCGTCTCTGAAAGTTTGGTAGAATTCATTTGTAAATCCATCAGGTCCTGGACTTTTGTTTTTGGGTAGGTTTTTCATTACCATTTCATAAATAATAATTTTTAACTAATTCTTTCAGATAAGAAAACATTTCTCAAGTTTTATTTGTAAGAATGCCCTTTGGTTCTAAAGAATGTGAGACAGAATATTCCCTATGTGATTTTTTAAGGCCACTTTTTTTAACAGAATAATATCTTATAAACCCATAATTATTTATCTATCTATTTATTTATTTATTTTCAGATTTAATTTATTTATTTTATTATTTATTCAATCACTGGGTACAGTCAGAAGCACGGGAGGGTGAGAGAATTCACCAGAGTCAGAACAGGGAGCAGAACTAGCAGAAGGACCGAAGTACAATGCTGAGGGGAGCAGCGGGCAGCAGGAGAGGTCTGCGTGTCATGTGGGACCCTCCTCTGGTGGCCGGGGAGCAGCTGGGAATTGAACCTGTGCTGCAGAGGCTGCAGCAGTTTCACAACCCAGCACTCAAATGCTGCGCCACCAGGGAGGCCCATTTAAGGTCACTTTTTCCTTAAATTCCTAGAAGAGATTTTGGATGGGTGGTCAGTTTCACCAGAACTATATACCTTTTCAAGACAAAGCTAGACTATTTCCTAAAACAACTTAAGTTTTTCAGGTTAAGTCGATATAGCCATTTAAGCTTTTTTATCTTTTTCCCCCTTTGGTAATCAAGGAGGTTTCTAATTTGAGATGAAAACTGAATTTCTTACATGTTCTAATTAGTGTCACATTTTAATCATTTTAAAACCTCTAGAGCCCACAATTGGAACCAGAGGAAGAAAATGCCTCCTTCAAGTGGAGAACACTCTCTTCAGCCTACTTTCCATCCCATTTTCACAGTGACAGATGGATACTGAATTGGCTGTCTGACTAAACACATAAAAATAAGAAAAAATACCAAATTTTTAAATAACCAAGATCTGATTCAGGAGACTTGCTTGAATTGCTTACACAGACACAATGTTCAGATTCACAAAACTACTTGCACAAAGTGAGGACCAAGTAAGGTAAGTAGAAGCCCCAGTCCAGGCCCACTGCTCTCACTGGGACAATCCAGCCCTCCCAGCCACCTTCCAGTGTTCAGAGAGTCCGGGTTGTCCTAGGTTGCCCATGGCCAAAGTGCCTGAGCTTACCCTGGATGTCAGGGTGAGACTGCAAAAGAGGAGAGTCACAAGGAACTCATGCCTGAGCCAGCCAGTGTGGACAAAGAGCGCACGCTGCCTGGACTTTGTGTTAGAAAAGTGTCAGTCTGTCCCCCACTGTCAGCTGCTCCTGGGCTCCTGCAGGGAAACAGTGACAAGAGCTGCTTCTTAGACATGGGTTGGCAGCTACAGGTCCCCAACTCACTTAATAGTGTCCCCAAGAGGCTTTCAGATGAAACAGATACGGCACCTCTCACCATACAGGAAAGGCGCCCCAGCTGGGAGAGACTTACAGACTCCCTCCCAAACTGAGGGAAACTGGAATCCCTCTCCGAGGGGGACTTTGATTCCTCACAAATGCGTGCAGGACAGGGGATTGGTGTGCACTCCTGGGGACCACCATCTTCCCCCAGGTTCCATCTCCTGCACAGTGAATCCATGGGGCAGAGAATGATGTGCCTCTCCTGGGGAGACCTTGGGAGGTTGCCTGGAGGAAATACCCCACAGCTGCTGGGACTCTCCCTCCCCCTGGAGAGAGGGCACTCCCTCTGAGCACAGGGGTCAGGATGCCACCCGGGATGCCCAGGCCCCTGCTCTGATGCAGATGGGGAAGTCCTGGCACACTGCCATGGGCTACTGCTCCCTCCCGGAGAGTCAGAGTTGGGCTGGCAGAGCCCAACTGGCATCCAGCTCCCGGCTCTGGCCCTCCCAATTGTGAGTGAACGCCGGCCTTATATACAAGGAAAGTGGTTGAATTTGTCCAGAAGCAAGGAGGGCAACAGACTCATGTCTGAAAGACAAGGTCTTGCTCTTGGGCAGAGGGCAGGGGTGTGTCTACCAGGGGACAGAGGGGAAGACGGGCGAGGGGCTGCAAAGGGGAGGAGGAAGGGCCACCGCGAGTCAGGTGGGCACCAGCTTGCTTTTCTCAGCTCCTTGGAATGCAAGAAGGAACCTGTCAAACACGGGTGGAATGGGAAAAAATATGGGAGAGGCCACCTTGTTATCGCTTATGGCAGAGACCCGTCATCCGCGACCGCCTCGTCGTTTCTCTGACCCGTAAAGACGTTCTTGATCTGCGCGGGGGCCGGTCTTCCGACCCGTCCCGTCTCCAGCCACGGCCCGGGTGTGTCCTTGTCTCGGCACTTCATGCCTCAGGGGTCGCCAACGTGTGCTGACCTCGTGTTTCCACTAGATCACACACCTGCGCGCACACAGAGAATGTGTTACCGCCTCCCTTTGCTAGACACCCCCACACACCCTCGGCCCAGCTGCACACCAGCCAGGCGCGTGCGGGGACGAAGTGGGGCCCCGCCTGCTCCCTGCGCCCCACTTCTTCACACTCCCCACCTGATCCCCTGACGCCCAAGGTCACTTCTCTCCCCAGCCTGCCCGCACCCGCACGCGCGTCCCCGCCTCAGCGCCCGATCACCGCGCTCACACACTCACACATGCACACGCACACACACACACTCTCACATGCACACCACAAGCACACACTCGCACATGCACACTCACACGCACACACACGCTCACATGCACACACAGGCACACACACTCTCACATGCACACACACACACTCTCACACGCGCACACACGCACGCAGGACGCAGGAGGCGCGCAGAGGCGGCCGCGGCCCACACACACTCCCCGTCCTCCTGAACGCGGTCCCGGGGCGTGTCTCTGAGGGGGCGTTCCTGGCTGGTCGCTGAGGCGGTTCCCACCGCTGGTGACTGAATAACGCGCCGGGGAAGGCCTCGCCCATCGAGGGGTTGGAGCGTCTTCCACGCGCCCCCAAACCCCGCCGACGCCGGCCCCAAGGCCGGACTCCCTGCCCGCCCCGCGGGAGGGCGCTCGCGACGCCCTCGGGACGGGGACGCCGGGTCAGCGCCTCCTCGCGGCACGTCCCCCTCCAGCCGCGTCTTCGGGTTCCACACGACCTGTTCCCCCGCTCCCAGCTGGGCCTCCCGGGCCTCCTGCCTGAGCCCTCACCCCCCACACCCCAGTGCCCTCGGGTCTGTCCTGCCTGCCCGTCAGCTCCTGGGGCGGGGCGGGGTGTCCAGGGGCATGTTTGGCGCCCCCAGGCCTCAGTCTCCGCGTTGGCCCCGTTGCGCGTCCGAGCCCCCTCGCCTCCCCCGCAAGTCCCCCCTCGCTCCTCCCCCCGCGGCTTCTCTCCTGGGCCCATGGATCCCCGCCCCGCCCTCGGATCCCCCAATGGCCGCCCCATCTCAGCGCCAGGCCCAGGGCACGGCCGGTGGGGACGCCAGGGCGGGGAAGGCCCGGGCGGGAGCCAAGTCCTAGCGGGGTGCAGTGCCCCCTGGCGGCGACGTAGGGGGGCGGTGGGAGGGGGCCGGGGGCCGGCCTGGGGGAGGGGCAGCGCCCCCTGGCGGCGACGGAGGGGGAGGGGAGGGTCTGAGGGGGGAGACCGAGCCCCACCCGCTTCCCCCTTTGCAGGGCACGGGCAGGTGCCGCAGCCACTGCGGTCGCTGTTTAGAGACCCCGGGGATCCCACATCAGCCACCCCGGTCCCGCTGGATGCCTCAGACCATCGCAGACACCCCAGGACCGGACTCTCGCCCCCTGCAGCCCTGGCCCTGTGCCCGCTCCCGCCTCCCCCGCTGCTGGGGTCTCCTCGGCACTCGCTGCTCCAGACTCGGGGTGAAGCTCTTGCCTGCGGGAGCCCAGTTTCTTCAGGAACCACCCGGAGCAAGAGGGAGGTGAGGACAAGTCGCTGCCGGTGGCTGGTGCAGAGCGGGCCAGTCAGGGGACCCGGGGTGGGGCGGCTGGGGGTGCAGAGCTCTGCGCGGGTCATTTTGGGTCCTGGAGGAACGTGGGGGTCAGGTCTTTCCTGAGTTTGATCCCGTGGGTGGCCAGCGCCCCTGACGGAAAGCGCGTCCCCCGTGTTTGTTCCCAGCGACTCCCTGCTGCACTGATCACCCGTGGGGTGGGTTTGCCGGGCTCCCCGCTGTGTCCCACTGATTTGTGTGTTTAATTTCTGTGAACTTGGAATATAATTTGGGGAATTATAAGTTTACATGTTGTAATCTTCTCTGGGGAAGACACCCCCTCCCCACCCCAGGTCCAGCAGGCAGGAGGGCAGAGTCATGTCCCAGTCTCCTGGGGGCACAAGTTCTGACCCAGGGGATTGCTGCTGCCTGTGGCTCTGCATTTCTCACAAAGGGTCTGAGATGCTGCCCCTGCTGGTCTTGGGCCCACATGTGAAGTCTGCAGCGCTGCTTCCCTGTTGTGCAGCTGACGTTGTACTTCAGAGCCTGGAAGAGGGACCTTGGACCCCTGGCCACTGCCTCCGGAGGCGACTTTACACTCTCCCTTGAAGAGAATCCAGGCTTCCCTGAATCTTGAGTGACCAGGAGCCACACAGCCTGCCTCACGCTGGCTACAGTGTTTGGTTTTTTAAAATGGGTTATTATCAACCGACTCCATGCAGTGAAAGCAGTGACCCTCTCTGTGTCATTAAAGGACACACCCAACAAACCTTTCAGCAGGGTCAGCAGGCTCTGACACTTACAGGGAAGGAAACTTTCTAAATGCGGAGCATCTTTGACACTGAAGGGTTCTTTTCTAAGATCTTGAGATCTTTTCTCTATAGATGGTGCTAAAAGGATCCCTCCTATTTCAGGGATTGAGTAAACCACAATGACTCATGGGAACTGGATATTTTGGAGAAAACCCCCTTTATGTGTCTTTTTTAAAGATATTTTTAAAGATATTTATTTATGCAAGCACTGGGGTACAGTCAGAAGCGTGGGAGGGTGATAGAATTAACCAGAGCCAGAGCGGGAAACAGAACAGGCAGACTGACGAAATACACTGCTGAGGGGAGCAGCGGGCGTGGCAGGAGAGGTCTGTTGTGCCATGTGGGACCCTCGCTGGCGGCCAGGGATCAAACTGGCGCTGCAGAGGCTGCAGACAGCTTCGCAGCCCAGCGCTCAACTGTTGTCCCACTAGGGGAGGCCCTTTTTTATAGATTTTTTTTTTAAAAATTGCATACAAAATCTGGCGTGCAGTCCAGATGTGTGGGAGGGTGAGAGGATTCACCAGAGACAGAGTAGGGGGCAGAACAGGAGGATCTTCTGAGATACACTGCTGAAGGGAGCAGCGGGTGAGACAGGAGAGGTCTGCTGCACCTAGTGGGTCAACTCCTGGCTGAGGATTGAACTCAGGCTGTCATGGTGACAGCACTGGGATTTAACCCCTAACCCACCGGCGGGGGGTGGGGGGGACACTGCACTTTACTTTTAAACGTGTTGCCACTTACTCTGTTATGCTTGCTTTGGAGAAAAGTTGAATTTCTCTAGAAAGCAGAAAGGAATCAGCCTTTATTGAGCATCTGATGGAGATTATCTGAACCTGTGTAACAAGTTCAGTGCTTTAGTTGCATGATCTCTGTTAATGACGCTATAGAGATATTATTCCTACACTGTAGTTGTGGACCTTGTGGTCCAAAAGGGATCAGTAACTTCTCTGAGATCAAAAAATGAACACAAGGGCCAGTTATTTTTGGACTCCCGAATTTTTGTATTTTGTACTGAACCACAGGTTTTAAAACGAAGGCAAATTGTAACCCTCTTGGAGACCGGGGGAGGGAAGCAATTTTCGTCCATCCTCAGAACAGGTCTGTGGGTGCTGGGCGTCCTCCTCCATAAGGAAGGAGCTTGGGCTAAAACGAGACAGAACAAAACTTTCAAGTATCATTTTAGCATGTGAGGATGCTGTCATTAATATTGATCATGAATTACTTAAAAGTTTTAGAATGGCTCTCATCCCGAACATGAATGCTAGTCATGAGAGACTGCAATTAAAAATAGCCCTTTCAGTGGGCCTCCCAGTGGTGCAGCAGTTGTGCGCTGGGCTGCGAAGCTGCCTGCAGTCTCTGCAGCACTGGTTCCATCCCCGGCCGCTGGTGAGGGTCCCACAGGGCTCGCAGACCTCTCCTGCCACACCTGCTGCTCTCCTCAGCAGTGTCCTACATCAGTCTGCCTGTTCTGTTCCCCGCTCTGGCTCTGGTGAATTCTCTTTCACCCTTCCACGCTTCTGACTGTACCCAATGCTTGTATAAATAAATAAATCTTAAAAAATAGCCCTTTCGGGCCTCCCCAATGGCACAGCGGTTTGAGTGCAATGCTGTGAAGCTGTCCATAGCCTCTGAAGTGTGGGTTCAATTCCAGCCGGCCAGGGAGATACCCACATGGCACGGAAGACCTCTCCTATCTCCCTGCTACTCCCCCACAACAGTGTATTTCTGTCTGTCTGCCTGTTCTGATCCCCACTCGGTCTTTGGTGAATCTTCTCACCCTGCAGTGTCTCTGGCCTGCACCCCAGCTCTTGTATAAAAATAAATCAATCTTTAAAAAAAAGCCTTTTCTCTCTTTCTCTAACACAGCAGGATTAATTGCTGCACCTACCAGAGAAAGTTCCTGGAGAACTATTCTAGATCTGGTGAGGAGGGGATCACTCTGTAGTGCCTGCAGTATTGTTCAGGATGTCACAACCCTTTAAGAGCATTCATTTGTTTATGTTGTTATAGGGTTTCCCCTGTCCTTAAAGACCATCACTTTTTTCCCTTCCTTTCTTACATCCTTGTTCATTTTTGTCTAGTTACTGTTTTCTCCCCCAGGGGTGGTCTCCATATTGCTCCCACCACCATAGCAGCTGTGACCATCACCTCAATCACTTATGCTCTTCCCTCCCCTCTGTTTAGCCCCCTCCCTCCAGCTCCCTGCTAGATGCCTCAGCTCTTGGTCAGCCTGCTAGGGTTGTCTTTTTCTTTACATTTTGTTCAGTTTCTCCGTATTTCACATCTGATATTGCTTCTCCTGATTATTGTGGCCAGCACAATCCCGTCCAGCTCCATCCATATCACCAACTGTGGCATGAATTTGTCTGTTTTCATTGCTGAGTAATATTGCCTTGTGTATCTACACCACACCATTTTGACCAATT